CGTTAGGTCATGGCTGTGCAGCTGTACCCCGCTAAGCTCTCCTGACCAGGAATGTCTGATAGTGACGGACACTATGGTGTCCAGAGCAGACTAGCACAGCATCAAACACCTTCTCCTTGCTGCCTCCTCCTGAAGGGCAGTCGTGCGCACCAACCACTGAGGTCTGTTGGGAGATTGGTGGCGATTTCCTGATGAGACAGGCTTTTGGTGATGCGTTTTACAGACGTTACATCTGTATTTAGTTGGATATCTTTTCGAAGGTTGAAGTGGTCGGCATAGGCATGGAGGTAGTCTTGTACCTGTACAAAGCGTTTATAAATGTGTCAATACAATTGCGATGATAATTCCGAGTACATTTCATCAGTTGCGACTATTTATTGTGCCCTTTTATAGCTTTACAGGCAATAACAATATAGATTAGCGGGTAGTCCTGTTCAAACATTACCTATTTAAATTGTTACGGTTGCGGATAATCTTAATTAAAAAAACAATAATACATGCCTGCTGCCAGTGAAGGAATTTGCCTTTTAGATTCGAAGGGAAGGGAAAGTCAGGGTACTCCATCCCCTGGGTAGGTAGGTTGGTGACAAGGCTCTTGTATATACTCGAGTGTACTGGGTTCAGTTAGGCCTGTCTTTTCTGAGTACATCCACATGCCACCTAGTGCAGTGAAGCGCAGAAGAGGAGTAAGTGTATTAACTATATCTTGCATGTCATTTTACATTGTATCACCTACTTTCCAGTTCCAGTGCCAAGACCAGTTCATCCTGCACTGTTGAGGAGACCAAACAACGCAGACTCAGATGGCCTGGGCATGTGTTCAGAATGCCGGACAACACCATCTAAAAAAAGCACTACGCTGGACACCTCAAGGAAAACAAAAAAAGAGGATGGCCAAAGACCACCTGGCGCCGGACCGTCAAGGCGGAGCTAAAGACCGTACAGCATGACGAAGTTCTGTTTGGGCCTTGTGCTTTACTGGGAGTGAAGAGGATAAGTAAGTAAGTGCCTACCTTCCAGGTGTTTACAAGCGTTAATTGATGCACGGGGAGATATGGTGGCCCTTCAACCTCACTTTAACATCCTCTTCCAAAAATTTTACAATGCATCGGACATCATTGCTTGTGCCAGCACGAAAAGATTTTCTCCGACAATTTTCATGCTGCCTATATGCACCGATTTAGATCGTTTGTCATGAAAAAGACAAATCTAGCAGGCAAACAACTGATGACATACGTTTTTATACGGAGATGTCTTGTAGGTAATACATGGCTTCCACTCACCGATGCTATCTCCACGTGCATAGACTTCGAATTCGATATCTTGCGGTCGTGCGGCAAGCAGGCGAGCAGCAATCGACCCTGACGGGCCGGCTCCAATCACAGCCACTCGTAATGGTGCCATACTAGATGTTTAACACATGATTATATAGAGACCAGTGTAAGTTTAAGGTATTCTCACGTCGAAGTGTATTATAAAAAGTTCATTGGCATATACTTGACTTAAGTCTAACTGCTAAAGCTTGACACAGACATGTACCAATCGATACATATTGTGTTTTATATGCGATCTTTGTATGAACGGGTATCCCGCTTACGTTTTGTTATTTTTGTAATTACCCACACGTCTCCCGAGCAAAAGTTGTCTCCCGCACCAGTGTCGATCTCAAAATCGAACTTCTTTCCGTTCAGAGAGATGGGTTGCAGGAGCTCAGGGATTTCTCCCTGCCGTTTCACCGTCTGGAGTCTCTGCTTGTAAATGGTCTTCACCGCTGGCTTGTTGCCTCTCTTCTTCTGCAGACAGACAGACTGAAGGTGCCCTTTCCGTTGGCAGAAATGGCAGGTTGCGGTAAGGTATGGGCATACTTTGCTAATATGGTCAGACCTGCCACAACGCCCACAGACTCCCTGTGGAAACGCCCTGGTGTATCTGGGTCCATGGTTAGTCGAGTGCCCTCCACTTGACCCAGGTGGTGAAGAGCGTGGCTCATGCTGCAGCTTATTCACCAGCCTCGGCTGAATCCCATGCACGGTTTCCTTGGCTACCTTTGCCGCATCTTCAGTCTCCATGGCGACCTGGATTGCTCGAGCGTACGACAGTTCGTCATCCTTGATTTTAAACAACGCCTTCAAGACGGCCTCATTGTTCACTGAACAGATGAAGCGTGTGCGCATGGCCTCGTCTAGGGGGTCTTTAATGGATGCGAAGTCACATGTAACTGCATCTTGTCTGATGCGTGCTGCCAGCTCTTGAATCGCCCCGAGCCCCCGTGTATTTTTTTCACTGCCCCAGATGGCTATCGATCATTAGTAAAGTCTGGGAACATAATTAACACTATAACTCTGTGTTCCCCGTATAGCTCGGGATATGTTAAGTGGGGTCAATCACATTTAACTGGACAAGACTGCGGCGACAACGACCAACTTTAAAGTTTGAAGACATTTGGGAAAATTAGTAACATTTCATTCCAGTGCACACACACACGACAACGTCCGGCCATAATAACTGCGACAACAAAGATATTTAGCCGCCATGCCGATGGCCGATCGGGCCGCCGGAGGTCGGTAGCTCGATAGATTGTAGCGTTGCAGATCGTTGGATCCTCCACCAATGGGAAAGGTTGAAGATCTCCGTGTAGGATCTGTAGCGTCGACAGCGTAGACTTGTAGCGTAGTCGTGTGATAACCAGTAGAGAGATGATCCATCGTAGCAGGTTGTTATTGAAGACTGATTTATTTAGTCACCCGAACACATGCAAAATATTTACATACATATACTACATACGACAGCCTAGGTTAATTTTCGTCCATATTGGAACCCGCCTGGCGTCTGTCCTCTCTGGCTCTCTACATCGTATATGACTCACGTACGTCTCCTGGTAGGTAACTATCTTCTCTCTATCTGAGCTTGTCTATTTATACGCTTCTAAAAACAGCTCGACATTTGGATCCGACCGGTTTTTCGTCATTACCCTACGTCCCGTGTCATTACAAAAACAACAACGAACAACGAACAGGACAATAAGTCCCACTGCCTCGCCTGGTTAGAAGCGCCACTGGTTAATTACAACGCACAATGTACAATACAACACTACACTAAACCATGGCTGTTCATTGAGTGAGAACGTTGAACTGCAGACTTCGACCAGGGGATATTCCCTCTCAGGCTGGGAAAAATTATAATTCGAGGGTTACGTAGGAATATTTTGAACATTGACAGTCTGAATACCTGTGCAAAAACACTCGTATAGATACAGGCAGGGAGGCTGAAAACGGCAACCGCAAGCCGCATAGCTGGCCCCCAATACAAGTTCCAGTTGCTCTCAAGATCCTCGACGGATCACTGGCGCCCCCTTGTGAGCAAGAGATAAATGAAGAGGCGGAAACTGAGTCCCGTACGCGTGACGCGCGCGCGCGCTCACTAGAGCCCTATGTTCTTGATTGACCTAGAAAAAAAAATCACGCGTCCCGCACACGAGTGGCTAGCGGACAGATGCTCTGCCACGCCCACAGCTCAGGCCCACAGGTACCTGATCTCTCCTCCTCGATCCATGGCTTTGGACTGCGGTGACATTGCTGCAATTTCCTGGAATTAAGGTATCGATGTGTCAATGGTGTGTTTGCTGAAATATGTAAAACATATATGAAACATTCAGAGAGTATGACTATCTTGACCCAAAACCGGGTCAGTAATAGTAACGCTGAGTTTTCTTAACAACCATTCCTATATACGCGTTGACCTATTTTCACGTGCGGCTACACACACGCACGCACAGACAAATCAGTATATATGGTGCAAGTTATTTGGAATAATCACTAATAGGTAAACGTTCATGTATCGTGTTCAAATTTACAGCTAGATAAAATGACTTACAACTGTGCATACAACAAAACACCGTGTCAAGAACGCATATAAGCTGTAGTTAAAACCTGAATCATCATCAAATCTATATATCAATCCCTGGTACTGATGAAGTTTTGTTACCGGGGTTGTGACTGCACGTTACTTGTAGTACAGAAGCCAATATACACATCATAGTTTGTTATTGCAATTGTGGTGATGTCCGCATCTTTATTATTTATCAAAATAGCATAAACATTAATAAATGATAATTGAATGGCATACTGGTCTGCTCTGTTGGCCCTTAATGCAGCAGTAGTTATAGTTTTGAAATTGAATTCGATAGATTTGATGCTCTCGTTACAGACACTAATTGGGGATATAATCTTTATCCTAGCATTTCTGGTTACTCGCAACGGCTTATATACCCGATAAGACACCGTAGCGATAGCAATTTATGCACCTTGAATACTTGCCTGGCCAAAGTTGCTGCACTAAATCATGGCTTTTTTTCTGTGTGAGCATGTGGCCAACTGAAACTAGGGGGTATTCCTTCTCGTGTTGGAAAAGATTATCAGTCGATGGGCACGGGAATATATAACCTTGACCTTCTTAACGCTTCTTTAAATAATTGTTTCCCAGGGAAATACTAGGGAAACGCATAATCAACAAGCATAGGCCGAATAGCTGGAGTGAACATTCAAACCATTCTCTGCCAATAGCAATGTATGGACCATGGGAAAGTCGTAAACACGTTTGGTCAATGTAGGTGCACTGTACCATGGTCGTTTCTTGGGTAAACAAGTAGGCCAACTACACAAACAGATATATCAATACAATTCCACAGATAAATAATGCAAAAAAGCAATCATGCGGTGCATATATATAGCTGGCGTCGGCGACATTCGATTTCAGCTCAGGAAAGATGATCTTTGCAGGGGTGGGAATATATATTAGCTCAACACACTGGCGCCCACAGGTCTTAAGAAAGTAGAAGCACAGAAGAATAAAATCTTCAGTGATAATAAAAAGCAGGCGCGCTGCATGCTAGGGGGGTCTGGGGGCATGCCCCCCCCCCTAAAAAATGTTGAATGGTAGACGTCTGGAGATGCAATCTGGTGAGTCTTGCGAGAGAGATTTAAGAAAAAAATGTAGAATTTTTTTTTTTAACCCAAAATTTACTGGAAGCACTGTGCTTCCAGTGCTTCTATCTGCGGGCGCCACTGGCTCAACCTACATACTATACATGCGTAAATAACTGGTTCCTAGAGGGAAACCAGATGAAAGACCGGATACCAGAGAAGCGTCGCCTGAGAGGTGTTGATCCTGCCCGCTAAGCGCGAATCTTGCGCGCAGTTCCGCGGCAAGGCGCACGCGACCGCGGGAACCTCCTACGAAAGTATCACGCGCTGGCAGCTATGAGCGTGAGCGTGCGCGTGTGCGTGTGTGTACATGTGCGCGCGCGTGTGTGTGCGCGTGCGTGTATACGTGTATGTGTGCGCGTGCGTGTGTGCGTGCGTGTGTGTGTATGTGTGCGTGTGCGTGTGCGTGTGAGTGTGTGTGTGCGTGTGCGTGTGCGTGTGAGTGCGTGCGTGCGTGCGTGAGTGTGTGTGTGTGTGTGTGCGTGCGTGCGTGCGTGCGTGT